TGATGATTGTCGTCAAGACGTTCTCGCTCTCCAAATGATCGCTGCGTTCCGTGGAATTTTCAACAACGTTGGCCTCGATGTTTACGTCTTCCCGTATCGTGTTACTGCGACAGCACCTGGCTGTGGTGTTATTGATGTTTTGCCAAACTCGATCTCGCGTGATATTCTGGGAAGAGAAGCCGTGAATGGTCTATATGATTATTTCATATCGAAATACGGAAACGAGGACTCTCTCAGGTTTCAAGAAGCGCGCGCAAACTTTGTCAAAAGTATGGCAGCCTACTCGGTCATCTCTTTCTTATTACAATTCAAGGATCGACACAATGGTAACATTATGATTGACGACGCTGGTCACATTCTACACATTGATTTTGGTTTTTGCTTTGACATTGCCCCTGGAGGTGTCAAATTTGAAAGAGCACCATTCAAACTTACAACGGAGATGGTGGCTGTGATGGGAGGAAGTACTGAACATCAGGCATTTAAATGGTTCGAGGAATTATGCGTGAAGGCTTACTTGGCTTCTCGTCCTTACACAGAGAAGCTGTCGCAGCTCGTTATGCTTATGATGGACTCTGGTCTTCCTTGCTTCAAGCCCGAGTCTATTCAACATTTCAGGGATAGATTTGTGTTGGAAAAGACGGAGGCTGAGGCTGCGGTATTCATGAGAGGTCTGGTAAAGAGGAGTTATGGAAGTTATTCGACTGGAGTCTATGATCAGTTCCAGCTTCTGACTAATGGAATTCCGTACTAGAAACATCACTGGGTTCTAGAGGCAAGAATGTTAGATTTGAACCGAATAGGTAGTGAGAGATGTAGTGTCAGGGGGCTCGGGATACTATGTTAGTTTGACTAATCACAGAAGGAACCAATCGTTGGCCGTTATTGTAGTGATTTTGAGATTGTAAATAGACAGTCTTTTGAAAGCAGTGGGATATTGCACGGGATAGCAACTCTTAATTCTTCTTCTATAAACTTTGGGTATATAATAATACTTTATTTTTCTTGCACATCAAACACAATGCTTCAGAATCTCAATCATATCTTCCCCACCAGTTTTGCAAATGCGATTGCGATTGCGATTTACGGTGCCGTTCCGCTCCCCTGTCATATCGCTGACGTAGTGTCATTCAAACCTCGAACCAAATTATATAAATATATTTAAATTCGCCGAGCTTTACACAACATCTACAGACATCAATATAATATCGATTTCAAATAGACCCCTCCAAAATGTCAACCCTAGCCCCCGAAGCCCTGAATGGCTTTTCCAATGCCTCAGACTATGACAAACATCGTCCAAGCTACCCACCCGAAGCAGTCTCTAAACTCCTGAAGAATCTGGGAGTGGAAAATGTGGAAGGAGCTAGAATTGTAGATGTAGGAGCTGGGACGGGAAAATTTACTACTTTGTTGGCGGAGAGGAAGGAAGGATTTGCAATTAGGTGTGTGGAGCCGCATGATGAGATGAAGGAGGTTTTGAGGGGGAAGTTTGGCAAGGGGAATGAGAGGGCGTGGGAAGGGAGTGTGGAGATTGTTGGGGGGAGTGCACAGAACATGGAGATTGAGGAGGGCTGGGCTGATGCGGTTATTGCTTCGCAGGTGAGTTGCTTCGTGAATTAGGAATACGGGTGAAATGAGAGATCGTTTGCTAATTCAGGTTTCTGGTAGTCCTGGCATTGGTGAGTGATGGGGGATGAAGTCGTGAGAGAACGAAATTGTATACTGATTTGCCGCTCAAGGTTTGCTACAAAGGAGTCTTTGAAGGAGATTCATAGAGCTTTGCGACTAGGAGGAGTATTTGGAATGATCGTAAGAAGTCTTGATGCATGAACGCGTAGACTAAGATGCTAACATGTCTGTTGTAGTGGAACATAGAAGATTGTATGTTACAACATTGCGTCTTTCCACTTACTACTAATCACAAAATATGCAGATAACTCACCAAGAGACGGTCGAACAACAACCACACAATGGGAACAGGTCCTAAAAGACATTATTGAAAGTAGTGAAGATGAGCTTCCACGTTTCCGTCATGGGAAATGGAAACAAGTATTTGAGGATCAATTAGATTCCACGCCATTGCAAACCTTGAAAGATACATTTACGCAGGATTTACCGCAGTTCTCACTACCGCTTGGAGAAGACCATGTTGAGTGGACGGTATGGTTGAGTGATGAGGCTATTTGGAATAGGTTCGGGACTTTGAGTGCTATAGCGGTGATGGAGCCTGAAAAGAAAGAACAAGTGAAACAGAAGGTTCTCGGATCGTTGAAGGGAATGGATGCTGAGCGTAATGAGAATGGTGAGGCTGCGTTGCATGGTAAGACTTATTTCTTCTGGACCTCAAGGGTTTGAATGTCTAGTGTAGATAGATGGCCTTAGATAGCTTTAGAAGCTGCTCCATTGTTGTTTCCGCGAATTTCAAGTATCGGCACACCTACTTATAAGGCTGTGCACATAATCCCGCCAGTTTCTGCTACCTTGTCGCATCCCATCGTCGTCTTTTGGATATCATGAATTTCGTAAAAGGATCCTTCCTGTATAGCACTCCATAACTCCCACCCAATGCTTTTCCACTATTGTGCCAATTAAGCAGATTCATCGGCCGATATGTACATAACTAAGAGACACACAGAATTAGCTGCTTATATCGAATGTCGTTCAGGAAGAATCCTCACCATTGTTGCCCCGCACAAAAGCATCACCATGAACTGTCTTCTTCTTTCCATGAACCCATTCCTCGCATTTTTCTAATGCGATATTCATATATCCATCGACGGACTGTAATTCTCCTGCAAAAATGTAAGTTTTAGACAGGGACCGGAGGTATGGGCAGCTAGCTAACCTTTGAAGACGAGAGAATTATTGAGCTTTACAATGACTTTTGAGCCAATGATTTCTGACAGGAAGGACGAAGGATCCTTGCCTTCGCCTTGTTGTAATGCACCGTTCTCCATATCGTTCTTCGAAATACCAATATGACTTTGCTAGAATCTTATCGTTGATGGAGGAGACAATTTTGAATATCACAGTTCTACACAAACAATGGCAGTAAATGAAGCATCGGTATCGCTACCGGTACTTTAGCGCATGCAGCCTCGCAACGGCAACCCTCCAAAATTTCCCCGTATTTACATCTCGACCTCAATTTCATGTCCACTCAATCAGGATAATCACAAAAATCGCACAAATAATAACTGAATATGGCAGACCTCGATACTGGTTCATCGGCGCCTCCAGCCAAGAAAAAGTTCTCTCTTTTTAAAAAGAAGTTGACCACAGCGCAAGCTCCAGAGCTTAAACCCGGGATGGACCATACAGATGCTTTTAGTCGCGCAAAAGATCTGTTTCCACTACATGCTAGGGAGAGGGAGATTAAGAGGGAAAAGAAGGTCGCGAGCTTAGAGAGAAAGCGTTCATCGCAGAGCAGGGAGAAATCATCTTCGAGTCCGAGAGTGGAAAAGAGAAGGAAGTTTTCTAATGAGGATGTGCGTGGGAAGGTGGATTTGAGCAGTGAGACAGAAGATGAGGAACCGGCTAGGTATTTATTTCATGGATACGCAGACATGGTGTTGTATGTATGCTGATGGGCTTAGGGAATCTTCAATATCTACACCTGATAGTCGCAAGTCGCAAACAAGATCCCCGCAGAAAAGGCGTCGTTCGCCGGGGGGTCTGATGGGCCGTTTTGCAAAAGATATACATAGTAGAAATAGGGAGAGCGTAGAACAGAAAGTTATTGCAAAGGGTTATATATCTGTGAGCGATAGCGACAGTGACGATGCCGCGCCTGTTACACAGCGAATCAGCAGAAGTTCCTCTCCCGTTGTAACATCGGCCGAACCAATTCCTATCATTGATGACGATGACGATGATGCATTCTCAGAGGAGGAATTTCCGGAATTATTGGCAAAGGCACGAGAAAACAAGAGACTTGCGGATCTAGCCCAACAGAGGAGTAATGCCGAATGGGCAAATAAAAACCATGAACCAGACAGAAATGCAGTCGACGACGATGTTTTCCAAGACAATAAAAAAACCGAACCTATATTAGAAATTTTTATATCGTCTCGACTGGAAAACACCAAGAATTTAATTATCAGGCGGAAACTTCATCAGCGTCTACGAGAAGTCCGACAGGCTTGGTGCGGGAAACAGGAAGTGGACGGAATACACATGAATGAAGAACTGAAAGATTCGATTTTACTCACCTGGAGAAACAAAAGATTGTTCGATTCCATGACATGTGCATCCCTTGGCCTCGACTTTAACCCGAATGGCGATGTCGATACCACAGGTGAGGGTTTCAATAGTGGTAGAATACATATGGAGGCATGGACAAACGATCTCTGGGATGAATGCTGCAAGGCAGCCGAAGCCGAAGAAATCAGCGACGATGATGAAGAACCTGTTGAAGTTGTACCCGAACCAGTCAACAAGATGAGATTGATACTGAAAGCTCAATCGAAGGATATCAAGGAATTCAAAACTTATGTGAAGCCCACAACGACGATCAAGAAACTGGTAGATGGATTCAGAAGTACGAATAAGATACCGGCGGATAAGAAAATTATTCTGAGCTTTGATGGTGATCATTTGGAACTAGATTCTACAGTGGAAGAGGCGGGTTTCGATGATATGGATACAGTGGATGTCTTGATTAGATGATGGCATGGCATACTGCTTGATGATTACGGGTGTAAAACGGTATTTTGGGAATCGAAAGCGCGTGTAGGTGTACTGGCTGGCAAAATATTGATACCCTGAATGAATTTACTTTCCTTGGTTCTCCGATGTGGAGGAACTGCTTTCTACATGTTCGATTATTGTTCATTAATTTAATCCGAGGACTTGGTACTTGTTCCTTCGATTTACATATGTAGAATTTGGAGTCTCTGTCAAAATATAACTATATAAATTGTAAATTCACATTTTTCATGTAATTGAGTTCAAGTTCATAGTTCGAACAAGTGAACGGACGAAACTCGATTGAAAATGGACAGATTTATAGCCGTCTGTTAACCTTCCATCTAATCTGTGAGTGATCACCCACGAAGCCGAATGCGATTATATTGATGTGAACTCCTAAGCATTAGATTAGGAAACTAATAATTAATATGGAACGTCTTTATGAAACTATACTCCTCATATCTCTCTCGTAACTCTGGGTATCTATTCAAAAGCTTCTTGGCGAGTAGCCATTCTTGTGCGTGTGATATCAACACTCTCTTTCCTTCTCCGGATAGAAAGGCATTTTCCCTCCTCCTTCTAAACCATTATATCCACAATAACCCCTCCTAATACTAATCCTGACAATCCGATCACCTCATTCTTAAACTACACAGTCCAAACCCCCCAACCCAACCCCCCAAAGCACAACTCAAGCCATTTCAAAAATTTCCCGACTCTCATTCTGATTTCTCGGTAACATGGCATCGCCTTCATGGGCCAATTCCTTCGGACTAGTTATTCCTGTATTGGTAGATGTATCATTCGCCCATAACTCCGCTTTCTGTCCGTCATTCTCAAGTTCAGCTGGTGTATCGTGTTGACCGGGAGTGGAAGCTTCTAGTTCTTGGGCTATGTGCGATTTTCGCGATTTTCTCTTACGTAGATAGAACAAGATAAGAGAACTGGCTACGATAAGTGCTAGAAGAATTCCGACTACTATTCCTGCAATGGTGCCGCCAGGTAAAGATCTTGAGCTATCAGTTGAGGTGTCTGAATACACAGATGTGATATTTGAGTCTGAGGTAGAATTGGCAATTGCTATATCTGAATAAATTGGTGTTTTACCCAACGGACCGGCTTTTGCTAGAAGATTGATGCAGCTGGAATTCAGGGCTTCGAGAGCTTGCAGACTTGCCGTCGTTGTTTTTTGCGAGCAACCTCCTGTATTCAGGTAGTATTGATTGATAGCCCAGGAAACCTGTTGCCAAGGAGAACACACGCTAAATGCGCCATAGGTTGAAGAAGTGACGTTTGATGTAAATCCGTCACAGATGGTGGAGTTTGATGTACATAGAGTTGCTTGAACTGATGTGATTGTGTTGACTGATGTTGATGGGTCAACTTTACAGTGTAGAGAAGCTGTCATGCAATCGCATAATAGGGTATTTGCTGTTGGAGGAAGTATTGTCGATGCGGCTGTTAATATTAGCAGAATTTAATAGACGTTGGATGGGTGCGTATACCCCAAGCTGCGTTTTCATCCGGACATGATGGCGCTGTTGTAATAGTTGGCGTATAAGCTGACATCTGAGTTATAGAAGGATTTATCGCAGCAAGTTGTGTTGAGAGCGATTTATAATTTTGATTGAGCTGGATCGTGTTGTCGGTTAAATTTACCAGAGCTGTTGAGACACTGTAAGAAATCCAGCAAACCTTTCCAAAGAGATTTACTTACCATAGTCATTGGGATCCGAATCGCTGGATCTCGCCCACTCATACACGATTCCGCCCGACCAAATATCCGACATTTCTGGGCCATATATGGTGCCAACTTCATCAAAGATCCGGCCGGCAACATCACTGTTATCTTCTGTGGTGGGTTTACATGCATAGTCTGCGAGGAATATTGGTAATGGATACTCGGAAAAGCTTTCGGTGAGACGAGAGTAATTTGACGAGGTGAACGTGGAGTTGTCACACCATGAATAATCTGTCAACGCCCAAAAATCAATGCTCGAATTTCCACAGGCCATGTAATCTGCAGCCAGCCGATAGGTCTCTTGTGCGTAATCGCTATCAGTCAGAACGTATCCTCCAATGGGTAGAGAACGATAGCCTCTTGCTTTAATGTAACCTTTTACATCTCTCACAGCTGCTTTAGAGAGTGGTGCTAAAGAAGTGGAACTATCTGTAACGGGATTGTCGACTAGATAGAATCCGAGTGTGTTCGTGTAGAAAGCAAATGCATCAACCATATCCACATAGGCGGAGAACTTTTGATTTGTCCATGTAGTAGAATCGATGTAGATATAAGTAGACGTGATTTGTAGGTCGATTAGTAGATAGATACCATTTTCCATGAATTTTTCCATGTATTCCCCATGATCTTGACTTGAATCAATCCCATAAACATGCAGTACATTGATCCCCAGAGATACTAATGCCTTGATATCACGCTCGCAAGCGTCTCTGTCAGCCAATATATCTAACGAATCCGACCCATAGGTAACTCTTCGAAGAAAGAATTGGGTTCCGTTTGAGTAGAAAAACTTCGATCCCTACAGAGCATTAGTGAACGTCTGGAAGTCATTGCAAATTTCGTTACTTTGATAGTTATCGAATCGACGGCCCGAGAATTCATTATTGATACTCAATGTATAGCTATAAGACGTTTCCAGCAGCATCCATTCGTACAATTATTAAGGAGCGATAGACAACGGAGAGCTTCTCAGATTTTCCCATAGAAAACAAACATTCTACTCAGCCACGCTTCAGGGCTTGTTCCAACTGTTGGGAATAAAGTACCATCACTGGGAAAAATCTTTGGACTTGCTTTTTTTCGCCTTTTGATAGGAGAGTAGTGTGTGCTACCCATGCATCTATTGCATCAGACCAACATAAAGTATGTTGGTAGAATTTGCATCCTTGTATAAATGTCAAGCTCGTTCATTGTTTATTTCAAGATCCTACACTCTGAATTCCTGATCAATTTTTTAAGGGGACTTCCCTATCGTATCCTGAGTTAAGGCCAGTAGCCTACGTTGTTCAAACTTTACCTGAGCTTGTTTGTTTAGAAAATTTACACTGACGGGCCATTCATATTCTGAGCCTCCCAAAATAGCAAAAACAGGGAATAGAGTAGAGTATCCTTATGCCAGCCAATTGGTAATTCATAAGGGAAAACGGCACAGCAAATGGGAAACATCCAGTGCAATTATGATATGTATATGTATTGAAAGTGTTCGGGTTCAAAAATTCATCTAATCTCCAGGCCAGCTTCTTAGGAAGCCGAATAGCTCATTTTCTGATACCACTAGGTAAGGAAGCATTCATATTTTGCCTTGATTCCCAACGAGAGAAACAATCATTAGATGCTTGTTAATTTTGGATCCTTTCGACCCTCTTTCTTTGTATTCTGCAATGCATACATTTACCTACTGACGTCTGCGCAGTTTCCTTGTTTTTAAAAATCAATCCAGAAGAATGATTAAGAATGTTCTCTCTCATTCAACCGATCCAGATCTGGTATCGATTCCTAGCGATGGTTGTCAGATGGCCCGGCACGTACAGTAAGAGAGTTGCACTGATAGCTCCGGCTGAAAGAACGTGTATGGGCCCTGGAAAGCTTGAATTCGTTGATCTCATGTCTCCGGGTATATTAGTATGAAACTTGAAAGGGCCTACCCATCGGGTATCCGAGAAGACTTGGTAAGCGATCAAAATATACTTCCCTCTCCATCAAGAAATTCAGAAAGAAGAGACACAAATGGTTGAGTAATTTACTGCCACCAAATGTTCCTCCAAAATGAATGGCTATGATCTCAATTGACGAAGTGGAGCATTGAGTCTATTTGAAGTCTCAATACTACTGTCGAGCAACCTCCTTAACTCGGTCCATAGGTGGGGTCACATCCAGATATCGACACTTCAATGCATGAAGTGTCACGAGAGGTGTCCTTCGTTCCGCTTTGATCAAATAATAAACAATGTGTAGTGTAAGTTTTCCACGAAGGCCCTCGAAACGACAGTTGAGCCATGATGTGGAAATTGAATGCGAAGAAGACGAGGTTATACCAAGTCTTTCATCGAGTATTGAGTGCTGGAAGAATTGGAGGAATTGGAAGAAGGAGCAAAAGCTCTGCATATTAACATTGCAACCTTGCTGGCGTATGAATCTGGTACGATGGGTTGATGGAGCAATTTTGTATTAATTCCAATTGTAGGTATTTGCATGAATGCCACATATGAATCCCATGAATGATGAATACCTACCGACAACTAGCTGGGATATCAAAAACTTAGTCTCACCCGGATTTTCTTTCTCCCACCAAAATCTCGAACAATGTGGGGTTCCGAATCAGGGGGTTACGAGGGATGGTGAAGGATGGTGAAGGATGGTGAAGCGTGATTGGAGTGAAGTTGTGGGTGGTGAAGTGTGAGTGGAGTGAAATGGGGGAGAGTGAGGATTGGAAAAGGACCGTGAGCGAGAGTGAGGTAAATGATCAAAAAAATAGCGCGGGGTTGACAGGAAACTCTATTCTTCCACCAATCCAAATCCTTGAATGTCATTGACCAAACAGGCAAACAACACAGAAATCATCGTCGAACCTTTGACTTCCGTCCAATTGCCCCACTGTTGAGCCAATTGATTATGTCTTCTTGACTTCTTCCCAAACGTTTCAATGGCTCGTTGAATTTGTATATATTTGTCTGCTTCTTTCCCAATCTATAGGTCAAATACTTCTCTCCAACTCTCTCTTCCTCTTCAATCATTCATTCTCACATTTCTTCATTTGCCTATTTTACTCACAATTTCTCCTTATATCAATCATCATGGCTGAAGTTACAATCACAGGCTGGGATACTCGCGATGTTCGATTCCCCACCTCTCTCGACAAGACAGGTTCAGATGCTATGAACGCTGCTGGAGATTACAGTTCTGCATACTGTATTCTCAAGACCGATTCCGAGTTCTCCGGTCATGGCATGGTAAGATGATTACAATATTTGGTTCACTTTCAATTACTCTATGTACACCCTACTAACCAATACTTCTTCTCGCAGACTTTCACAATTGGTCGTGGAAACGATATCGTATGTGCTGCAATCGACCATGTCGCTGATCGTCTCAAGGGACGTACCCTTTCTTCCCTCGTCTCAAATTGGGGACAAACCTGGAGATATCTCGTTTCCGATTCACAACTTAGATGGATTGGTCCAGAAAAGGGTGTTATTCATCTTGCCCTTGGAGCCGTCGTCAATGCTATCTGGGATTTGTGGGCAAAGACACTCAACAAGCCTGTCTGGAGAATCGTTGCAGACATGAGCCCGGAGGAATTCGTCAGCTGTATCGATTTCCGTTATATCACTGATGCTATTACACCTGAAGAGGCAATTACTATGTTGAAGGCTGAAGAGGGAGGAAAGGCAAAGAGAATTGAAGATGCCTTGAACAACAAGGCTGTTCCTGCTTATACCACAAGTGCCGGATGGTTGGGTTACGGCAAAGATAAGATGAAGGGGCTCTTGGAGGAAACTTTGGCCAAGGGATACAGACATTTCAAACTTAAGGTTGGAACATCTGTCGCGGATGACCGAGAACGTTTGTCAATTGCCAGAGAGGTTATTGGCTACGACAAGGGCAATATTCTTATGGTTGATGCAAACCAGGTATGTTACATCAGAATAGTGATAATTCGTTTCCAAACTAACAATCATATAGGTTTGGTCTGTCCCTGAAGCTATCGAATATATGCAACAACTCAAAGAGTTCAAGCCATGGTTTATCGAGGAGCCCACTTCTCCTGATGATATTCTCGGTCACAAGGCTATTCGTGAAGCTCTCAAACCATATGGAATCGGTGTTGCAACTGGTGAGATGTGCCAAAACAGAGTTATCTTTAAACAACTTTTGGCCAGCGGAGCCATCGATGTCTGCCAAATTGATGCCTGCCGAATGGGAGGTGTCAATGAAGTCTTGGCTGTTCTCCTCATGGCCAAGAAGTTCGGTGTCCCAATTGTTCCACACAGTGGTGGTGTCGGACTTCCAGAGTATACTCAACATTTGAGTACCATTGACTACGTCGTAGTCAGTGGAAAGTTGAGCGTTCTCGAATATGTTGACCATCTCCATGAGCACTTTGAGCACCCATCTGTCATTAAGGGTGGTTACTACCAGACTCCATTGGAGCCAGGATACAGTGTTGAGATGAAGGCAGCAAGCATGGATCAATTCGAGTACCCAGGAAAGGATGGAGTTAGTTGGTGGAAGAGTGAAGAGGCTAAGCCTATTTTGGAGGGTATCAAGATCTAAATTATGTTGTTGATGGAGTTGCGAGGGGTGTCGATGACGTTAATGTTGAGTCTTCGGCAGCAGGGCAACGATGGCATCCTGTATGATTATGTTTCATCCCAATAGGGGTCGAGGGTTTTCATGTTGGGCCCTCTTCCGCAGGGCAACGATGGCATCCTGTATAACTTTTTCGTTATCCTAAAAATGTAGTATCATTATTTATATACCTATTTATTTCCTTATTTACTTTACACACTAACAACGAGCCATCGCTTTGAAAGTTTCCCCCCACTGAACTGAATATATGAATCACGATGTAATGATAAGTACCGGTACACGTCCAAGTCCTTAATCTCAACCCACTAGTTCATCGCATGGTCAAAACTCCAATTTAACCCAATTCATCCTAAATTCTCTTACGGAACAAAAACATCAAACTCCGAGCGAGGACTTGTTCCTCTTCTCTCATTTAAAACATCACGTGTTTTGTGGTTCTTTCGCGTTTCAGAATTCACGCATTGGCCTCAAACAAAACAATTGTCGCAACGTATTCAGATATCAGTTCATTGAAATATAAACTCGAATCCTTCTTTTTTGTGGAAGTAGTGTTGAAGATTTAATTTGTTGCTTTTTTTTGCTTGATAAGATTATTGGTGGGAGTTTAAATACCTTCACCTCACCTCACCCCTCTTCTCTAAACTATCTCAAACCATAGATATCATGGCACCAAAATCATCCCCAAAACCTTCCAAATCATCGAAACCCACAAGTATAAATGATGAACAATTACAATCATTTACTCAAGATAATTTTGAGAAAGAGCTCAAAGCCTTAGCATCGAAAGCCCAAGAAGAGACCACAACCAGATTTCTCTTATCTCAACTTTGGGTCTTGGCTCAATCAGCTACCCTCCTTTCACTCGCCGCCATATATTCAAATGTCTCCCAGCTTACTCTCTCTCCAGTCTATGGATCATATCCGGCTGGAATATGGCATTCGAAAGGAGTCATGACGGCTTGCTTCTTAGGGTGGTCGTCAAATCTATTCATTAGGCGTTATCTTCCAATTAGGAGACCAGTCCAACTTCTTCCAATTATCGCCGCTTACATTCCAGTGACCCAGTATTTCCTCTTCAAGTTGAGTGGTTATATGGGAGCTAATCTTGGACCTCCTATTACGGAAGGACTCACATTTTTACCTCTGCTCATCCTTTCCGTCTCGTGTACGGCGACTACACTGGACGATTTAGAACTCACATCTGGTCGATGGCCTTGGATTTCCGATGCAGCGCCAGGTATTTTCTCATACATCTTTTTCAAAACTGTGGAATACATATCCGCAAATCAGATCTCTCAATACATTGGTCAATCCATCATTTTCACACGCCTT